GTTAACATCTTCGCATACGTATGCCTGAACTAAATTATTATTTCCTATGTTAATTTTTATAAGAATGACAACTGTGCCTCATAAAAACTCCTTTTAATATAAAAAGGTAAAGCAGCCTTAGCTATTTCATTTTGATCTGTTGAATATTGCACTTATAAACTCAAAGAAAGATTAGAGTTTCTTTGATCAAAGCCAAATTGTTATATCTGGGCATTTCTAGAATATCATGATTGTCGTGTGTTCATGGACTCATGAAATGAGTTTATATTGTCCAGTAGACCAATGACAGAAAAATCATAATATTATAAATAAATCCTTGTATGGATTAGTGATAACAAATTAACCTAAGTGATAAGGAAATTGAACATAGAAAAAGCTGTGATAGGGATACTTTCTCCCAAAAACCATAAATTGCCACAAAACTAAAACATTGACCTAAAAGACATGTTTTTAAATAACATCATCAGATTGAGATTTCCATATGGATGTCATGCATAGGGCCACACTCGTTAAGAAATATCTAAACTGTCAACTGTATACAACTACTTTCTCAGATTTTTTTTTTTAAGCATTTCACCCCAAGCAAGGTGGGAGTGCCACTAGCACAGATGGGGTTACAGAGAGTGGGAGCAAGAGTAAAGAGGTGTGATAGAGGAAAGGATAAAGAGAAGGGCGGGGAATAGATCAAAGCATCTGGAAATGTTGATTGACAATGCATTTGAATAGTTTGAGATTATAGCTATCAGGGAAGCAAGTAAGAAGAAGGAAGTTCCACAGACGGGAAGTGCAAGACATGAAGCTATTGGGGTAGAAGAGACAGCTACATTTAACTAATTCAAGAGTGAAAGGGTGGGACTGAGATACCAACCTTGTGGTACATTTAAATTCATGCAGTTTGGGAACTAGCGAAAGTAGCTTGTTACTGTGAAAGTATTTGTAGAAAGACAGAGGGAAGCAATGGCATCTCTGTGAGACAGCGACTGTAAACAAGATGCCAGATCAGGGCCAATCACATTGCATATCTGTCTCTGGATTTTGTTGAGGACCTTAAGACAAACAGTGGGAGCTCCAGATCATATATGACAGCAGTATTCCATGCAAGGACAAATGGTTGATTTATAGATTTGAAAGGTGGATAGTTAAAATGGTTTTGAGTGTGGACCATGCTTCTTCAAACCTTGTGGACTGGCACTACAGAATTACAAACTAAGAACTGTACCAAATAAAAAAGACCACTTCATTTGAGGACTTTCAAAAGCAGTAACAACTAAAATGGATAGCACATCCAACTCAAAGAGAAAATGAATGATATAATGAAGTTTGAAGGAAGCCGCCATCAATACTAGTAAGTTCGATAACAGTTAATAAACTTGAGAAATCTATGTTCCTGAAAAAATTCCTTTCGGAGAAAGATTTATGACTTTAACCTTATAAGGAAACATCTAATATTACCATTCTCATTGTTGCATATGGGGATATGTGACTGCAGAATAGTGTGAGTAACAATGCTAATAACCATTGCCAGAAGCATCTATGCATCACAACTGGGCCTTGTATTAGAGGCAGACCATCAACTTATTTGATGAATTTTGCTTTCTCTAGATTAAAAAGAATAAGAAACATATATGTACATTGTTATCCCTTGGAAGTGACAGCTCCAAGATTCACTGGAGAAAAACAACCAAATGTCAAAAGCAGTGTTAATGTTTTGAACAATGACCTGTTTGGAAACATTGTATCCTATTATTCACATAGAAAGCATTTTTTTATGCTAAATCTATCTCCAATTATTAAAGAACATATTCACCTTTTCATGATAAAATTATTTAATAATGGCTGTATCATCTCTCAGCAGGATAATGCACCCTTCCAAACTGGCCTACATTATAGAGATCCTTTAAGGAACATTAAGTAAACTTGCTCGTCCATGAAAAATTCTTGATAAAATCCAAAGAAGAATCAACAATATTATTGGTCCTGATCTGGTGGTTTGGTTTCAGTCACTTTCCCACCACCTAAAGGTTGCCTCCCTGTGCCTTTTTTATAGATACTTTCATGGTAACTGTTAGGATGAGTACTTTACTTTGGTACCAAGACTTTATGAATTTAAGCAAAGTACTAGACTCATGATGAGGTCTAATTAATTTATAGTTGAGTTGGATAAATGTAACCATAAGTTCTATGATAACAGTTTCTTTTCTTTAACTTCTACACTTGTGGAACTTCCTTTTGGCTGTATGCTTTCTAGCAAACTTTAATATTCAAAAATCTAAATGACATTTTCATTTGTTATCTACTGACCCACTGATTACTTTTTTGTTCTGAAGTTCCTAATTCTTCCACAGCCAGTAACTCCTTGATCTTAATCCTGTTGAATACTTATGGATGGATAGTACCAACAAATTTGGTTGGTATACCCTCTGTTGCATAACTCTTAGCAGTTAAATGATTTATAGGTCTACGTTAGATTGAATAAACCATTCTTTTCATTGAATCAGTTCACCCTAAGCAAGGCAGTAAGGCCACTACTATGCAGGGGTTTACAGGGAGTGAAAGAGAAAGAGAAGACTGAGAATAGGGAGGATTGAGGAAAGGACAAAAGATGAATAGGGTCAAGAAGACAGAATATGGTGATTAATATTACATTTAAAATTCTAAAGTTTGCATTTATCAGGGAAGCAAGGACATGGAAGGAGATTCCACAGTTTGGAAGTGTGAGAAAAGTAGTTTGGAGTAGAAGTGGCAGTAAACAGGTGTAATCTAGATGCCAATCTAGTAGCATGCTTAAATACATGTATTTGGGGCACCAGAGAAAATATTTGTACAAAAGGCTGAAGGAAGCCATGTTACATCTTTTGAGAAAGTGACTGAAGTCAAGATGCCAAGTCAGGATCGATTTACATTTCAGATTTTTTTTGCATTTTGTCAAGAGCCTCAAGGTGAATAACAGGAGCACCAGACCAGATATAGCAACAGTATTCAGTGCACAGTCAAATAAAGATTTGTAAATTCGGATGAGAAAAATTTTCTGGCATGACACAGTGACCCTTATCATAAAGTTTGAATCATCAGTATGGTACATCTATCTATCTATCTATTTATGAAACTATTCTAGCAAAGATACAACTTAGGTGGGATAGTCATGTTGTGAGAATGGATGAGCATAGGCTTCCAAAGAAGGTGCTGTATGGGCAACTACCAAACTCCAAGCGTTCAGGTGGATGTCCACTCTTATGCCACAAGAACAAACTGAAAGACAACTTGAAACTTCTAAAATTTGATCTGAAAACCAGGGAAACCCACGCATCAAACTGAAAGGAGTGGCAATAGACATGCTACATTAAGTTAAAGGGTTTTGAAAACAGTAGGCTAAAGTACCGTGATCAGCTTCGTTAAGCTCTGAAGCAGACACCATCAAAATTTTGCTTTAACAAATTTCATCTGTCAGTGTGGCTTTGTCACCTGCAGCAAGGCTAGGATAGTATCACAGTTAAGAAAACACGAAGGAAATATATCTTTCTTTTACCTGATTTTCTCCATAATAACCCCTGCTAGCATGCATAAATGGAAAACAAAAGGCACCATCCAATGCTCACCCTCATTTCTCGTTCACGATAGGAGAGTCCACCATATATATATATATATATATATATATATATATATATATATATATATATATTGGTTCCTTCTCAAATCTATTTCAACTCTATATTTCTAACATTTCCTCCTAAAATTCTGAAATTTTACTTATTATTTACTTTTCTTTTCCTAAATAGGAGTAGATAGGTTCGTCTACCATCCTGTTCACACTCCTTCCCATTCTTATGAACAGGAGTTGAGTGTTGTCCCTTGTTTCCTGATTAGGATTGGGTTTCCAGTTCTTTCTAAAATCTTTTCCCACTCTTTCAATTCTAGTGGTCCCTTGCATCTTGGTTGCATTGTCAACTTACTTTGTCTGGTACCTCTTAATCTGTAACCCTCTACTTTGAGTCACACTTGGGTCTTTTACATATATATATATATATATATATATATATATACATACACACTACAGTTCTAAAAGCCACCCACAGATTTAGCATTGGAAGAGTGAAAAAAAAATGAATTTGAGTCATTGGAAAAAGAATGGAATCAGTTATCAGTACTTTGAGAAATCTTTACAGTGAATGTCAGTGATTTGTGCTGCAGTAATCAAAGCTAAAGGAGGATATTTTGACATGAGCAAAATTTAATCATAAAATTCTTTTTTTCTTTTTGACATAATAAAATTTCTAATAAAAAAATCATGTCTCACTTTTTTTACTCATGTATAATAATTTTCTCTTATTTAAATACAACACAACTACATTTTTGGTCAATTTAATAAAATTACTAGGGGATGCCTTAAACTTTTGAACTGTAGTGTATATACACTTCTATACATTTAATTTATGCCATGCACACACACACAACCACATATTTCTTATTTTTTTATTGAAATCTGTTTGCATGAAAAAAACTAAGCAGATGTGCTTTTTGTGAAAAATTATTTTGCAGGAGGTGAATTTACAAATTGTAAAAGCGAAAAGGTTTATCCATTCTTGTGTCTGGTAATAAATTTAGTGCAGTTGGGGTTTGAATGGTTGGGCCTGACTGACAGGCAATGAGCCAATGAAAAGGAAAAGATGAAACTGAAAAGGGTCAAGAAAATCTTTTTGCCAAGATAAAAGTTTGGCTGAAGGTCAGAGTTTGTTAAGGCCAGAAGGAGGCTAAAGGAACTAATAAGGAGCAGTGGGAATTGTTGTGGGATAATTAGGAAAGAGAAAGGCTACTTAATTAGGAAAGAGAAAGGCTACTTAATTAGGAAAGAGAAAGGCTACTTAATTAGGAAAGAGAAAGGCTACTTAAAATAATGGGGTATAGAAAGTTGGTTTTGATGTAAAGTGAAAACTAGACACAAATTGCTAGAGTAGCTGCATGAGAACGAAAGGCTTGGACAAAATAAATAAAAGAAAGATGAATCATAAAATGGGTTTGAGGAAGGAAGGAAGGAAGGAAGGAAGGAAGGAAGGAAGGAAGGAAGGAAGGAAGGAGCATGAAATGGATTTGTGGAGAGCAAAGAAAGAAAGAAAGAAAGAAAGAAAGAAAGAAAGAAAGAAAGAAAGAAGAGCTTGAGGTGGAGAAAGAAAAAAGAAAGAAAGAACCATTAAATGGGTTTGAAGAGAAGGAAGGAAGGAAGGAAGGAAGGAAGGAAGGAGCATAAAATGGCATTGTGGAGAAGAAAGAAAGAAAGAAAGAAAGAAAGAAAGAAAGAAAGAAAAAAAAAGTATAAAAAGGATTTGATGATGAGTAAGAAGGGAGGATATTAATAAAAAGAAACGAAGAATCTCAATCTACCAACAACAGTAAATCTAATAAAGACAGAAACAAACGTCAAATAACATCTGTCCTTGTACCAGACTTAGGAAAAATCAGAAAAGCAAGAAAAAAGAAAGAAAACAATAGAATAAATTACACATAACATTTACACCACTGCAATATTCAAAGAAAAAATATACCAAAAAACAAGCAAACATTGATAACTTTCGCTTAATGTGAAGCAAGTTTTATATATATATATATATATATATATATATATATATATATATATATATATATATATATAAAGATATATAAAA